GACTAGTTACTAACCCCAGTTTTGAAACACTTCTGATATATGTTGACACAATGATCTTCATAGCAGAACAAAATCATAACTTCCTATTCCATGTTTATATGTTTAAATATTCATGGTTTTGCTGCTAAAGCAAAACTACATGTGCAGCAAGGCACATATGAAGAGTTGATGGTACTAACAACAAAATATCACCAGAGTAGGATAGGGGAACGACTCAGCCAATAAAAAATACTGGCTCTAAGCCCAGTAGAAAACAAGATTGAATAATTTCAGCTAAAATTACGATTGGAGAAGTAAACATTATCCATTAAACTTACCAGTTTCTCCAATTAGTGTATTAAACTATATACAGATTACCAGTGTACAGACTACTTACACAAAAACTAGAAAATTATCTTTGTACAAACTAAAGTTTGTTACACAAATGCAGAAAGTACTATCAGTCCCAGTAAAAAATACAGTTTACTAGTAGTAGTATCTAGTATAAAGGCCAATTACATCTTATCAAATCATGAAACCACAAAAACGTAAGACTACTAGTCACAACAAAGCATAATGACAGCAAACGAACTAGATTATTAATAAAAGCACATTTTTGGAAAGGTTAACAAGTTCTGCATTCGAAATGCTCCTAATTTCTTCCAAAAGAATCCATTAATCATTCGATTCAAGAAATTCACTGCAATTCAAGTACAAAGACTCACAGGAGGAGGATAGGTGAACATAATCGCATTCTTCTCCTTCGTATAGCTGATGAACTGCAACACTCCATTCAAAACCACATACTTGCCAAAGTTAAAGAAAAAAAAACACTTTTGCAGTAACAAAACATTCTTTTAGGGTCCATTTAGTACTATGTTGACTGAAATAGAGAGTAAATTATGCGTTTACAAGATATTGAGTTCTTGCTAGCTTTTAGTTTGAGTTCTTCCACCTAACACGCATTCAAAACCCTAATTCTCTAAAAAACAAAATCAATCAGCGAAAAGGATATAATCCGATGCAAACGAGAAGAAAATCCTTGTTCTCAGGGAATTTCTTGGGAAAAAATTGAGCCAAAAGAGCGATCGCGATGATGACAGTCCCTATCAGCAATCTGACATTGCTCAATCTCACATCTTCTACGTAACCTCGACTCTTGACGATCTGAAACCGATTAAAAAATTCGAGATCCATTAGAAACCCTAGAAAAAACCCCTAGAAAACACGAGATCGCATGAACTGAAGATTTGATTGTACCTCGGTGACGGATTCATCGAGGAGGTGCTTGATCGAATGGGGATCCAGGAGATTTGCTTTCTTAGGGTTTTTGGTTGAGCTCGCCATTTCTCTCTCTCTCTCTCTCCTCTTTCTCTGTCTTCGACGTTGTTGACTCGTTTTTATGATGTTTTCGGCCGTTACCTTTTTGGGTTGTGGGTTGGGTCGGGTTGTGTTCTGGGTTCAGTAGGTCCGGCCTGATATTAAGGGTTATTGTATAAAGTTAAAAAAAATGCTACAGACACACCTCCGACCACACCACCAGC